TAGGAACGGGAGTGGGAATGCGACATGGAGGCGGGCGTCTAACGGAGATGTTGGTGGTTAAGGTGCAAGGAGCGGCGAAGCTTTTCTAATCGGAGGTGCGGGCTGAGTACTGAGCGCTAAGCGCTCTCTTGAATAGTACCGGTCGAAAATAACGACGATTATGTTTTGGCTAGAGAAAGTCTATCGTCCATTTCAAGCTCTTCTTCCCAAGTCCCAATCCTGATTGTCGCGGGTCAAGCTCCTCTGCTTCCTCTTCTCACTGTCGCTGACTTCACGATCGACTCTCAAAATCTGGAAAATGATTTCTCTCTCTCATCTACTTTCGTCTCAGAATATTTCCTCGTCACTCGTCACGTTTCCATTTTGAGGCTGAGCACTCCGGCAGGTACAAATGAAATTTCGAAGCGGTAGCTGGCTGATGAGCAGATCGGGCGGCGCATGGATGATTTGAGCGGTAAGCCAGGGCTTGGTCGCGGGTGACAATTCTCTTACAAGCCACCCATGAACAAACAGGCAGTCATCCTGTACCAAAATTTCACGCTGTCAGCGCTATAGGAACGTGTTTGTGCTTTTATAGCCTGGGCACCACAAACGCAAACGCAGAAATTGTGCCGCTCAGTGTCCCTCATCATGCTACCGAGATTAGTGATACTGCATTGGCAGTTCGGGTAGTATTGTAATGTTTTGGAGAAACTAGGTTGTATCTAGACATGCTGCAGGTCTTGAGCTGAATCATTGAGGCCGTGTAATCGACGGAGGTACTATATCAAGGGCCTTGGGCCTCTACAAGGTGGAGAACATATTTAAATTAAGCGTTTGCAAGCTGATGGTCTAGCCAGCCGAACCTCTACGATAACTCAAGTGGAAAAGATCGGTCGGATAATATTGATATGCACTTAGTAACGTATGTTGATAGAAGGCTACTCGCAATTGTTAGGAGATCTAGATTGCCATTCTGACCTTAAGCTTGTCACCGTCAACAATCTCCTGCTTCTTCGCCTCAAGCTCCTCGACGTCCCACTGACAGCTAATGTAGCGTCCAGATAGCCAAGCCTTGGGTTCTCGGGCGAGCCAAACTATGGTGTGCGCAGCGATTTCGGGCGTGTCGATGAGGAACGGTTTGAGGTCCTCTGCTATGTCTGCATTCATGCCGGTGGAGATTGAACCGGGATGCACTGCGTAGGCAACAATACCTTTGTCTCCATATTCGTTCACGATGAGCTCCGCGAAGCGAAGCTGCGCGAGCTTTGTCATCTAGAAGGTTAACAACATGAGCTTTATCTCAAACAGCTAAATTTATCAACGCGTACCCCGTAGGCAGAGCCATGCGTTTCGAGGATACCATGGGCGGCGATACTGCTGACGACGACGACGGTCTTGTTGCCGTTGCTCTCGATGAGCAACGGCAATGCTGCCCGCGTCACCTCATACGTCCCACGAATGTTCACATCCCAAGTATGCCACCACGACTTTGAGTCTGAATCTGCAATGAGGGCCTCAGGCTCGATGACACCTGCGTTGTTGACCACGATGTCAAGCCGTCCTAATGTCTCCTTAATCTTCGCTATGGCTGTATTGACTTGCGCAGCATCACTGGTGTCGACGTTGATGGTCAAGACTTTGAGCGACTGGCCCGGACGCTTCCGAACCGCGGCTTCACAAGCGGCCTTCGTAACGCTGAGATCGGAGCGGGCAAGAAGAACGAGTCCGGATGCGCCTGACTGCGCAAACGCGATTGCGATGGCTTTCCCAATACCCTTCGACGCGCCGGTTACGAGAACAACCTGTCCCGCGAGGTTGGCTTTTGTAGGATCAACAGCAGGGTACGTGTCGTGGCGCGCTGTCTTCACGAATTCAAGACCTAAATTAGATGTTGAGAATTTCAACCAGAAGATCCTAGGGAAATGATACTTGCCAGCATGAGGCGGGAAGCTGACTTTCATCGTTATGACTGCTCGCTTGTCGACAAGTGCTTTTATGTGCTAGATACTGGGGTGCGCCTGGCTGCATCCTGGCTTTTTATACGCATCCTCGAAGCCTGCTTCCGCACCTTACTTGTAGCAATGTAGACATCGATTCTCCGTTCATCGGGAATTCCACCGACTTAAGGACGGCGAATATACTTGGCATCACGATGAGCAAGCCTCAAGGGACTGGAGTTGCCGGCACATTGTCGCAGCAATGGCCGCAGGCGCGTGCGTGAACGGGAAATGACAAACAATACGCCACTGGCCAATCACCGTGGTCGAGAGCTCGATCACTTCCGCATAAGGATAGTATACAAGATGCCGCCCGTCGCTGGAGAAAAACCGTTAACCTGCCGGTACGTTTATTCGATGACTTGATAGTTCTTTGTCCTGATTTTAGAGCCTGGCTTTGTGGAAGTTCCAATGATTTTCCTCTCTTGAGCTACTTTTCCACCGAGTCTTTACCATAAATTAGCCCTTGGATAGACCAAGGGGCATGAAAATGGACACTCCATTGAAGAACTATGGTCGGCGGGGACATCCACGTCACGGTATGTTCAGTCGAATGGCAGCACACCAAACAGCTTGCACACCAGAATATGATGAGCCCTCAATAAAGCCTGCATGTTCGCTATAGGAAATTACTATGACACATAAACGATCATCACAGATCGCTTGGGACATCTCGCACGATCAATCGAGCTCATCAAACAGAGCGCGCGCAACCAATTCCCGAAGATGATGGACCATGTGTTCATCGTGCTTGAAATCCTCATGATGGTTCCCAAAGTCCTCGCCGTGACCCTCAAAGCCTCCATAATGGTGTTCAGCATCCTCGTCGCCGTGATGCCAGAACTGCTGACCGTCCTCATGCCGAATGTCCTCGCGGTATCGAGGGAAGTCATCATCTTCACGAGCATAAAGGATATCATCGGCACTAGAGATCGACGTTGAGCCACGCATATTGCATAGTGGACACTACTCACCGTTTCCCATTACCCTTGCTGCTGTCACCCTGCTTGCCATGAATCTTGGGATCATACTTGGGAATTTTGACAGGCTGGTTGGCAGGGTTGTTGTTGGCCTTCTGCTGCTTATTCGTATCCTTAAGGATCTTCCCCGCACCCCGTCCAGCACCCTTGGATGCACCGAGCAGAGCACCAGAAAGCATGCGCCGAACGAGCGCTGACTCCTCATCCTCCTCGCGAGCAAAGAGATCAAGGTCGTATTCACTGGATAACATCGTTCAACTCAGACCTTTCCTAGCGCACCACGAGATCACTCACCGCTTTCCATTGCCCTTGCTGCTGTCACCCTGCTTGCCATGAATCTTCGGGTCGTACTTAGGAATCTTGGCAGGCTGGTTGGCAGGGTCGTTGTTGGCCTTCTGTTGCTTATTCGCTTCCTTCAGGACCTTTCCCGCACCCCGCCCAGCACCCTTGGATGCACCGAGCAGAGCACCAGAAAGCATGCGCCGAACGAGCGCTGACTCATCCTCGTCCTCTTCACGGGCGAAAAGATCGAGGTCATAATCGCTAATTGGCGTCGTTCAGCTTTAACATCTCTCCCAGACCTTGCAACATTACCCACCGTTTGCCATTCCCCTTGGAGCTGTCGCCCTGCTTTCCATGTATCTTGGGGTCATACTTGGGCAATTTGACAGGCTTGTTGGCCGGGTCATTGTTTGCCTTCTGCTGCTTGTTTGCTTCCTTGAGGACCTTTCCGGAACCTCTACCGGCACCCTTCGAGGCACCGAGCAAAGCACCCGATAACATCCTGCGAACAAGGTCATCGCTAACCTCACGCACGTAAAGATCACGAGAATAAGGTGTAGGAGCCGCGCTGGAAGAAGAGTCGAAGTTCATGAGCCAGGAGCCCCCGCATGAGTGAATAATACGTACCCGGCCAGAACAGGGGCGGCGGCAGCGGCAGCGGCAACAGCAAGAATGGCGGCACGCATGATGAAATGTGAAAGCGTTGGAAATGAAGTTGATAAGAGCGATTGAACCGTCAAGCGTGCGTCGTAAAGATAAAAAGCGAAAAAAGAATGTAGCAAGTCAAGCTAGAGCACAAAAAATAAGAATTTGAATCATGACTATTAGGCAGGGTAGGAGCCACTCACTATCCAGTACTTGAACTCGTTGAGACTTAGAACAGGGCACACAGGTCAACTGAGGGCTGAGGAAACGACGCTGAAAGAGACAAGCATTTTATACGAAGAGAGACGCCTCAGACGATTAATTGTGACACCGGTATGCCCAGCACGAATCGTCATGCAGTGGTGCGTAGCGCACATAGCGCTGCCTGCAAGCAGGGATTCCGTGAGCTCGGGTATCTTGGGGGAGACCCGTTTGAATGGATGTGAAATAAAATATGTCATCAAAAGTGTTCTCAGCGCCCTGTCCCTTCTAGATCATATGAGTCGCTGTGGTAATGACACACCGAATTCAAGAGGGTCGCCATATAGTCTTGAGGTGCAGGCCTTGACGTGCGCCCATGCAATTGCGTACCAACACGGAGCACTCAGAAGTCTGCAACAGTAATTATTAATAAGTGCCTCAGATACGGATTTTCTCAAGAATCATACTTATCAACTACAAGGGCGAATTTCGTCCTTAAGTTCAGCGTCTGACTGTCTTCGTGGGACGGGATGCTGTCAATGCTATCCCGTGGGTGAACATGGATTGATCCGCTGAGCGCTGAGCCTTTGGCGCGATGATCATTCCGCCGCCCGGCATCGCGGATCACCGCAGCGCGCAGCCCATCACCCGCAACCTCCCTGTAAGCGTCTTTCAACAACGGAGAACGGATACAACAGTAGAAAAGATCCGATCACAAGTCAAGGAAGGCTTCGAGATGGCAGCTCGCTGCACATAAATCAAGTCGGAGGGCAGGTGCCTGCATGCGATAGCCCGACCATAAGTTGACCCGGAAAATGATCCTGAACGGTTAGGGGTTATACCCTTGTGGAACAGTCGCGTGGGGCACGTAGCATTCGTCTTGGGCATAACAACCTCGACGACGCTGGACTCGTCCTATTGTGTCAGAATATCACCAAAGCGCAGAGATCTCTCTACGGGCATAATTCAGTATGTCGCCTTGGAATAGAAATCGAACACATAATGTCGTAGGAATGTGCGTGATTTTGCCTTATGCTACCTGTAAGTAGTTTCGAGCGGATGAGATGGAAGTCATATGATGTCGGATTCGGTGAATTTATCATGCTTCAAACTATTGGAATGGTAATTTTGCTTACTGTGATGAGATCCCACCCTCTAATATCTGTCGATATGTTTCGCACACCTCGGATACGGTGTGTGTGAATAATGTCGTCCCCCCGAAGTTCTCGACGCTAGAAAGCGACAAACATCCGCGGAGGGCTCAGCGTAGCAAAATTTTTACTCCTTACATACCCATTTGGCTATTCTACGATTATATAAGTCGGCTCTATGTAATACTACTGCACACATGATACAATTTGACGTCGTATACACGCCTTATCACGACGCAAGAAATGCTCCTGCTTGTCATCTACTAAAACTCTTGACACTGGGTGAGGTTTGGCGCCAGTACCTACTGGCGTACTTCGAGTAATTACAGCAATCTCAATTGATGTGCCGCGCGCTCTGGGAAAAAGGTGGCTCCTCGGCTGATGACGGCTTGATGCTGTAGGTGGTGGGTCACTCAGTTTCGGGTCGCGCTCATTGAAGATAGCAGTGACGAAAATAATGATGAAATTCTGTACAGTTTATGTCCACTCATTGATACTCATAGCAAGGGCAGTTTCGTTGTTTGGCATATACCTTGACATTGTTATAAGCAGCTCCTTTTGAGAGGGATGAATATACCGTCTGAGTCCGGTCATATCGCCAAGAGCGCAACCACCGGCTCGAGGAGGAAGAGAACTTACGCCGCGGGGCAACACCCAGGCCGCAGGCGGCACCGAGCCGCCGTGGCGCTGGCACCAGCCGACGCCATGCTCCATCGTGTTTTCTCGGGGGCGGCACATCGATTTTGAGATTGCTGTAATTGAATATTGAGAAACGGGGTCACCCAATGGATTGCGTCAAAAATGTGTGAAGAAAGCTGAATTATGTAATTCATGTGAAGGTAGTTTATCTCATTTTTTTTCTCATTGGTTGACACAGCTTCCGATTTTTATTCATGTCACTTTTCACTGAGCGTCACAGCATGGCCTCAGCTCTCCTCAACTTCACTGAAGCACGCCTGGCTGCTTTCGACCGCTGCATACACTACATGTTCAGGCTGCAAATCTGCCTGAGGATGCTTCCATCGGACTTGTTGGATGCTATGATGCCGTTCAGCATAACCCACCCATCGCATTCGAGACCAAAGTCCTCAGGCTACACGCAGCGACACCGCAAGAGTCGAGACATTCAATCAATGGAGGAAGCACGGATACCCACCATACGACTATGCTCTGCGAACGGTCTTTAGCGCTACGGCTCTCAACGACCACAATATCCATCTCGACTCTCTAGGTTATGGAGGCTCGCCCAACGATTGCTGAGACCTCTGGTCAGCGCACAACCAGTTCTGATTATGCACCACAGTCGAGCTGATCCGGCCAACTAGACTCCTACGGAGGAAGTTGTGTCAATAGCGGAAGTGGCACAGCTTATACGGTCCAGCGGGAGATTAAGCGCCTGCAGGGTCTGCCTCCCTATCCGTTCTGTTCACTAATGTGCTCGCTTTGATGACAGACAGATCATGTCTCGGCTTTTATACATGTATAATTTTTAGACATGACGCAGATTCCAGAAAGCTGGCGCCCTTAAATAACCATCCTGATTTTGAGTTTGTCGCCATCGACAATCTCCTGCTTTTTCGCCTCCAGCTCTTCGACATCCCACTGACAACTAACATAACGTCCAGATAGCCAAGTCTTGGGTTCTCGAGCGAGCCAGACCATGGTGTGCGCAGCAACCTCGAGTGTGTCAATGTACAATTGTTTGTAGCTCTCCGGTGCGCCGGAAGTCATATCCGTAATGATTCCACCTGGATGTATCGCGTAGGCAACAACACCCTTGTCTCCATACTCATGCGCGATGTACTCCGCGAGGCGAAGGTGGGCAAGCTTTGTAGTCTGGAATATATCAGATGTAAGCTTTGTCCCAAACATTCAAATAGTTGATGCGTACCCCGTAGGCAGAGCCATGCGTCTTGAAGACACCATGGGCAGCAAGACTGCTGACGATGATAACTGTCCTGTTCCCCTCGCTCTCGACGAGTAGCGGTAATGCTGCTCGCGTCACCTCATACGTCCCACGAATGTTCACATCCCAGACGTGCCACCATGTCTCTGAGTCCGATTCTGCAAGAAGGGCCAGAGGCGACACCGCGCCGGCATTGTTTACCACAATGTCAAGGCGTCCGAACGTCTCTTTAACCTTCGCCATGGCGTCATTCACCTGAGTTGTGTTACTGACATCAACGTTGATGGCCAGGACCTTGAGTGACTGGCCCGGACGTTTCGCCGCAGCTTCACAGGCAGCTTTCGTCGCGTTCAGGTCGGAACGAGCAAGGAGAACTAGACCAGACGCGCCGGCCTGCGCGAATGCGACCGCGGTAGCCTTTCCGATGCCCTTCGATGCGCCTGTGATGAGGGCAACCTGTCCTGTGAGGTTGGTCTTTGTGGGGTCGATGGCGGGGTATGTATCATGGCGTGCCGTCTTCACAAACTCAACGCCTAGCAAAAGTACCATCAGAAGAGCGCGAACGCACCATGGACTGCCACACTTGCCAGAGTGAGGAGGAAAGTTCATATTAATAGACATGGCTAACCGATAGTAAAGTGTTTGACGTCGGTATTGGTGTATTCGATACGTGCGCAACATGCGCTCGCATTTCAGCCTTATATGTGCGTGAAAGAAAACGTTCGTAAGCTGCTAATTCTCCGCCTACCAGGAATCCTGTAAGGAGTAGCATAAATGCCGACATTCTGGCTTGTAACGTCGCCACTGGAACTTGATAGGACGACGTACCTGTTTTGGCACTCACGCTCTCAGCATACTCATGTGCTCTACCCGTGCGTTTCGTCTTGTCTTGATTACCATCTATTTGTATATACCCTCTGCCCTAGCTACAATGTATATCAGTCATAGGTGGAATGAAGTTTACTGATCACATAAAAAGGTAGATCTTGATCCTGTCACTTGCACTGGCACTTTGGAATGTCACAGATTTGAGTTGCCACCATTCAATGCGGGATTCAGGAGAGGTTCACTGTGCAGATTGTTCTGGAGAAGTTAGAATAAGAGTGCTTGAGTTCTTCACATCACCATGCTCAGTTATTGTGTCAATCAGACATTGTGGTCCCCCACCCAAGGTGACCACTCTTGGTTGAGTGTAGTCCTCAAAACACTCTTGTGGGGCATTCAAGTCACTCTCTCACTTTGCATTCGTAATATAACCACACAACGGTGATGTACTTGTATTTAGTATCATATATGAATTTTTGAGATTTGAGGAGGAGGAGCAGCTGTAAGTTTAGTAATTGTACTACTGATACGATTGCATATGACAGTATGATTCTCAGGTTGACATGCAGACAATATCCTTATCGGGGTCCAACCAGTCGACTATCAGAACCACCTTTTGTCAGCTCCACTTCGATGTCTCGTCGGCATGTTCGAATGCATAGAAGCCTTCAAGCGTCGCGCTGCAGACGAAGAAACGTAGGAAGGAGTAATGAGGAGGAATCGTTCTATAACATGAGACACAACAAAGTCGGTACCGATCGGCGCAGAAGCCACAGTGCCTCCTCACAAAATTAATCGTTACATGCGGTAAAGTAGCAGAAAGGACCGTGAGACGGATGAGAGCGGATATGAGCAACGGACAACCAAATGACTTAAAATACAATAGTAATGATGCCGGTCTATAGGTGTTCTTGACGGTGGTCATACTCCTACAGCGCCCATGACTCCTCCATTGTCCAGTCCATTCGCGTACTGGAACTCGCCAGAATTTTCATACTGTCACAAACACCAGCGCAGAGGTCAGTATTATGTTCCGCAGCTACATTTACGCACGCAACGCACCTCCCACATATCAATCGCGACCTGACAGCTTTCGCGCACGACGCGCGGCGCATCGGGGCGCTGCATCCATTCTTTGAGGTGCGGTAGTACCTCGGGCGTCGCGATTCCTCCGAGCGCCTCAGCCGCCTCGTGGCGGACCATGTCGGACTCGTTGGTGTTTTGAAGGACGGCAAGGAGGGAGGGGACAGAGTGCGCAGAGAGTAGCTGTCCAAAGACGAAGGCGATTTCGTGTCTATTTACAGAAAGAAAGAGTTAGTAGTACAAGGGAAGTGAAGGGTGTAGAACGTACTTGAACAGCGCGCTGTCGTCGGAGAAACCCGCAGCGAGTGCGTTGACGGCGGCGGGCGTGCCGATATTGCGGAGTGCAAACATTGCGCGGTATCGTTCGAAGAGCGGGCGATTCTTATCGAGGAGGGTGGTGCGAAGTGTGCTAATGCTGATTGTTGATGCGTCTTCGGGCGCTGGTTTGCCAGACAAGAGGCGGGACGAGGGCGGCGCGGGATCGACTGAGGTGTATGTTCTGATCAAATATACACGCACTAGACGTCAAAAATATGGTCACGAAGAGGGAAGGTGTGGAACACACTGGTCTTCCGATTTCTTAACAACCTCCCAATGCTTGCGCCCTTCGTCAGAATTATCCCAGTCGATCTTCGCCAGGGCGATCTCGCAGGTCTCTCGGACACTCCGTTCAGGATCGGAGAGGTATTTCTGCAGAAGAGGAATGGAAGATGGTGAAGAAATAGCGCCCATTGCCTCCGCGGCCTACTTGCATCCAAGATCAGCCCCAGGGCGCCCTCCATCGTGAAAGCAGAATAGAAGAGGGGTTTACGTACCTCATGGCGGACCATCGGGTCTTCCTGCTCGTTTGCAAGAACATTCTCGAGAACGGGGAGGGCAGACGTGTTCTTCATCTGTCCGAGACAGTATGCGAGCTCGTGCTTTAGTAGCGCACTGTCATCCGAAAATCCTAGTGCGAAGGGTCCTGTCAGCTGCTGTCTATTATCACCGCGAAGGATAAGGACTCGAGGTTCAATCCGAAGATAGAATTCGCCATTTACGAGATGATCTCCCGCACTTTGTTGAGGACGCACCTTTCGAGATAATATTTACTGCATTGTCGTTCTTGAGTGCCTTAAGCGTGAAGAGAGCCCGAAACCTGTTGTGCAGTGGCACATTGCCAGCGACGTTGAGTAGTGCCGCTTCGAGGGCGGCGAGAGCGGGGGGCGAGATATCCGGTACAGCCTGACCTCCCATTATAATACAGACGCAGATGCAGAGAGAGCAAAGCCGCGGAAGAGGTGACGGTGAATTTGAGGTATCCGGGTGATCAGCCAAAAGAGATAAGATTATGGGCAAATTTTGTAAGATTAGATCGGGCGCTTGTCGAAAATCGTGTTCCGCGTCTGCTCTCTTCACTCGACCTTGCCTGTATGACCATAAGAAAAGTATCATAACCACTCTCGATCACCTCTACATTTTTTGTATACCTCTGAACAAGTGAAAGAGAACTGTAACAATGCCAAAGTCAAAACGCGCTAAACTCGGTAAGCAGCTGCTCCAGGGACGGTCTATTCACACGGCTGGAACACTCACAGTCGTACAGTTTCACTGACAAAGGTCGAGAAGAAGACTCGGGAACATAAAAATGCACTTTTGAAGGAGGTATGATTTTTGTGTTTCTTGAGTAATATGACATCACCCGCTGATCGGCGACAGGTGCAAGAGAATGCAGAAAAATGGCAATATTGCTGGCTGTTTGAGGTGGGGAACATGCGAAATGCGCATCTAAAGACTGTACGAAAGCTATGGAAAGAGTACGTGTTGTATATTATCTCGTTTGTTTGTACGTGCCCGCGATCTGACTGAGGAACTAGCTCTGCGCGGATCTTCTTTGGGCGAGGGGCGGTCATGGCGAAGGCGCTAGGCACAACGCCAGAAGAAGAGCATCGTTCAGGTTTGCATAAGCTTGCAAAAGTACGTACAAACGTTTCACTCGTATGAGAGCTGGCTCAGACACCATTTTGCCGTCCTCAGCAAATCAAGGGCCAAGTCGGTCTCTTCTTTACTGATTCCCCGCCCGAGGAAGTCATCGAGTGGTTTGCGGACTTTAGACAGCCGGATTTCGCGCGATCGGGTAACAAGGCTACGCGTACGGTCTTGCTCCCAGCAGGACCAGTTATGCAGCAACACTCGCTACCACCGGAGCCGTTCCCGCACAACGAGGAGCCGCAGCTACGCAAGCTTGGGCTGCGCACACGGATGGAACGTGGGGTACCGACGCTCGACGCGCCGCATACCGTGTGTTCAAAGGGTCGCGTGCTGACTGCGGAGCAGGCGCAGTTGCTGAAGTTGGTTGGGTTGAAGCTGGTCAACTTCAAGGTGGGTTTACGGGCACGATGGGAGGCGGCGAGTGGGGAAGTGGTTCAGGTAGAGGGCCAGGAGATTGGTGTTGAAGAGGTCAGAGAGGATGACGTTCCGGAGGGGGAGAGAGACGGTGATGGAGATGATGAGATGAATGAGTAGGAGGATACTACGAGGACCGTACCTGGATGTCTCATCCGGGATTTGTTTTGTTTGTCCCAATTTCGTTCTATCTATCGGCTTTCTATCTAAGTTTATTTTCACGCAGCTCCATGCTTGTTATTTAGCTGATTGACGACTCTTGCATTCGAGACATAGTCGTGCTTGAACGGCTCGCTCGTGTTATTCGCAGTCGCTTGTGATCACGTACCGGCGCAGCTACTGGATTCTCGGCTTGGGCAGAGCCACCTACTCAAAGTTCTGTCATACAAGCTATAGGTAGCATCTGCGGCTTCCGACGTCGTTCTACCTACATGCTGATCTGCAGGGTGTTTTTTTTTCGCCTTTCCTGCACTACGTGTTCGGCTCCAGGTAAGTTATTTCTCGTAAATGGAACATTCTCACTATTCAGAACTTTGAAACAGCGCATCTCATGGAAAGTGTGATCGCTTGATGTCCATCGGAGATTTGCGCAGTTCGTAGGTAGTTCAGCAGGTGGAATTTGACGTCTGCTAGAGATACAGGATGGATCTGCTACTGCGCCGACGTTATTCGCTTGTTGATATGCTCAGCGTAGTGTTTGCGGGTACGGCGCCTGTCAGCGCCATGGCGGGCAATGTACTCGCGAATCTACGAAGCCGAGAGGTGCGGAGGTATGGCCAATCCTCCGCTGTGCTGAGTGCGGGTGAGTGCGTCGGGTCGGTTCGTTCTCTCTCCCCGTTGATACGCCACCTCAGCTCGTCCCCGAGCGCATATGCTATGTATCTCGAGAAGAGGCCCTCTACCTAAGAAGAAGTTGGGGAACGATTATGTCCAGAAACTGACGCCATAACGACTCGTTCTAATGAGTCGAACGCTCCGAGAACATGAACCTCACTCCAATGCAGTGGTGACATTCGCTACAGACCTTGAAGCTATTTTCGAGCTAAAGTGGACTTGAAGGTTCGATGCTGGCTCAGGTTTACGAGAGTGGAGTGCCTGTGGCTGCAGACCTCAACGACCTAGTCTTCTGTGCAGAGACGCCGTCGACCGCCCAGGATCCGCATGCTCGATCGAGACCGTCTACGTCCCAAGATGACCGTCCCACTTCTTAATATGGTAAGTATGTACACCCAAGCTCGTCCTCTGTCACTAGCCGACGTCAACATCTCTTGGAGCGGTGGCCGTTGGCTGAACCCACTCGGCCATAAAATCCAGCGATGGACATTGACTCTATCCCCCGTGCTCCTACCCGTTTCTCCTCCTACCGCTGGTGACACCCTCCTGCGATACTCGTCCTGCGACCGACACCATCCGGCACATTTCTCTGTGATTCAACTGCGACATATCTTACATTTTGAGCGACTCGCGGGCAGCGGACATGGGTTCCCCAGCAGCGGAAACGTACGTACGAATTGAACGGAGTGGATCACAATGGCATTCTGACGCATATATCCGCAGGTATGGGCCCATCTTTGTTGGATGTGTCCTCAATATCGTGTTATACGGCATCATGATTACACAGACATTCCTTTATTTTAGTGTATACAAGCGGTAAGCACTTTCGGAAGACTAAGGCTGTGTTGACTTATGTCTTGTCTAGCGACAAATTATGGATGAAATTATTCGTACGTCTTTTTCTTCGCATCTCTGGCAGCGATTTTACAGTAGAGGTGCCAGGTCGGACTTCTCTTCTTATGCGATACCCTCAACTGCGCATTCGACATCGCGTTCGTTTACATTCCTCTAGTTAACGGCTTTGGCGAGTAAAATTCCCCGCACGGTGAACATTTCTAACATGACAATCCATCATATAGACAATCCCTCCGATCTCAACTATGCGTCCTGGGGTAAGTGGAGTGATTTTAATCCCAGGTTCAGGTTGTGGCATCTAACCATCCGCACCAGTCTTTGGAACAGGCCAGTACACATATAGTAGACGTCTCATACGAACTGACAAGCGAAAATCCCCCATTCAGATCCTGCAATGACAGTATGTTTGCGATAGTTCACACATGCTTCACTGACGTATACCCCACAGGCTATCATCGCTCTGCTTGTGCAAATGTTTTTTGCATGGCGTGTCAAAGTTCTGACCGGTAGTATTCCTGCTGTCTGCTTTATTATGTTCTGCTCTTTCTGCCAGTGGTGTATGTCATCTTTTGGAATATTTCCACTGTATTTTCCCCTCAAGCATAGACGTTTCCTCTTTCAGGCGGTGGAATGGGGACTGCCATCGCGGTGGGAATGATCCCGGAGTTCACACATTTCCAGAAGTTTGAAGTCATCGTGATCATCTGGCTTGCATTCTCAGCAGTTGCGGACTCTTCTATCACGGCGGCTCTTGTGTGGCACCTGGTGGGTACTCAATGCCTCTGTTGCGCATGGACGTGAAGTTTAAAGACGTCGGCGATTCTTAGCGAAAGCACAAGACAGGATTTTCGCAAACGGATGACGTAGTGAACAAGATCATCCGATGTTGGTTGAAGTCACAGGGGCTCTTACGAATTGGATCGACTGACACGTTGCCTATAGTGACCGTCCAGACTGGCCTGATTACCGCGTTGTGTGCTACCATCGACTTAATCCTGTTCTTGGCTACCGTGAGTGTTTCATGATATCTAAGTTTCCAAATGTTCACTTATTTTGTCCGTTCGACGTTCCATGCTTCGCGCGTCTCGTTGGGTTTATCAAGCCCGCTGGTTTGCATCTGATTTTCAACTTGCCACTGTCAAAGTTGTACACCAATTCACTGATGTCAAGCTTGAACTCTCGCGCCGGATGGAAGTACGGAAATGTCGGCTCTGGCACGAGTGCAACCGAGATGAGCCGCGGAAACATCAAAGGCCTTCACATGCATACCGAACTTGGGAAGCGGGTTAGTATGATGCAACAGGCAATGGTTTTATCTTTCTCCTGAATGCGCAAGATCGCTAACGTAGTATATTTGATAGGGCGGTCAAGAGGTATTTATCGATGTAGAATCTCATGAGATGATCGACGTCCTAGAGTCAGACAAGATGCCATCTCCATCAGATTCGTCGACACTGAAGATGTACCCGCTAGAGAAGGAAGGGCGTATGAGCGTTGGTCAGGCTCCATCCAGGCCATCCGTTGCACAGTGAAGAACTTATTAGGGGTCTTTGTTATATGGAAGAGCACACTGGATGTTTTAGACTGCATATCAACTTTCCGAGGGATTACTTGGTTGCATTGCACGCCGTCGCAGCGCCTGGCTGCTTTTCTTCGTCGTTCTTCATCTTCTGACGTTTCACTGGCTACCCTCTCCACGTCGACAGATCATTCTTCGTTCATTGTCCTTTAGGATATACGTTAGTATCGATACACGCACATGTAGTGGCACACTTTGGCAGCGATACCTGTATACATATGCGTAGTATGTGTACGAATCTACGTGATTACATTTTGCATCGTTCGTATCAGCGCAAGAGATAAATAAATGCCTCAAGACTCCCTGATCACCGGTAGAGGTAGATTATAAAAATGAGTAGAATTCAATTCCTTCAATTGAGGGCACTTCTCCGGATGACATGCAACCATCTGTATCACTATGCGAATTGTAGGAGATAGGCTCTATGTGATGTTGAATAGACCCCTGTGAGTATGATTAAGGGCGGGAGTAGCTGAACGTCTATATAGAATGGTATACTAGTGATGCCTTACCCGATCCCGCACTGAGGATGCTTGGCGACGGCGGGAAGGCACAGCCCGTCTCCTATTGTATATGTGTACATAGGAGGCACAACTGTGAGCATTCCTTTAAAAACCAGCGTTTAGAGACATGTTCTCCTATGACAGGGTATATTTCAACCATGCTGCCGAGAATCGAAATTGTGCCTCACCAGGGCAAGTATGGAGGTCGACGGCAGTCCATTCCTGACTTGTTGACCCATGCGTGTAGGCTTCGAGTTTGTCAAGACCATCCGCCACGATACGTACCCCGCCATCGACCCTTCAAAGGCGGACTTCGGAGGTCAAGTGGTGCTCATAACTGGCGCATCGAGGGGCATTGGGCAGGCCACCGCGATCTCGTTCGCCAAAGCAGGGGCAAGCGGCCTGGTCCTCTTTGCGCGCTCCGATATGAGCACAACCAAGGCAGCGTGCGAGGCTGCAGCGACACGTCCCGGACAGTCGCTCAAGGTGCTTACACTCTCCGTCGACACGAGCAGTACGTCCCAGGTCAGCGCTGCGCTCGTTACGGCAAAGGAGACGTTCGGGCGCCTCGACGTGCTCGTGAACAACGCGGGGTATTCGGAGCCTCACGCGCTGCTCGCGGACTCGGACCCGGAAGAGTGGTGGCATACGTGGGACGTGAACATGCGCGGGACGTACGAGGTAACGAGAGGGTGTCTTCCGCTGCTGGTCGAGAGCAAGGGGAGCCAGACGATCATCACCGTCACGAGCGTCGCTGCGCATGGGGTTGTCGCCACACAGGCCTCCTCGTACGGGGTGTGTAGTGGTCGTGTTTGCTGTACCGCCTACCCGGACTCATAAATTCTCGTGTATCAGATGTCGAAGCTAGCCCAAGTCCGCCTCGCCGAGCTACTCATGAACGAGTACGGGGATAAGGGCATCCTGGCCTATGCTGTCCACCCAGGCGCGATCGTCACAGCTATGTCGGCTGGAGTGCCCGAGAACATGAAGCCGTTCTTCGTGGACACGTTGGAGGTGGCTGCGGATGCCATAGTATGGCTTGCGAAGGAGCGCAGGGAATGGCTCGCAGGTCGTTACTTCAGCTGCCAGTGGGATGTCGAAGAATTGGAATCGAGGAAACAAGAAATTGTAGATGGCGACAAGTTGAAGGTTCGGATGGTGATTTAGAGATGCTACGGCCAATAGTCATAATCAGACGGCATACATTTTATTGGGGTCGAATTTGGCTACATACACTCCCTCTCGAGCTCCAAGTCGAGCTCCTTCGTAGCCTCTTGGCACTCAGATGACGGCGAGCTCTTATCCCGAGGCCGTGCCAAGCTTCAAGTTTCATCTCGCACAATCAAAGCACCAGCACTTTTTGAGCAGAATAACATCACAGCTAAGCAATCGCAATCAGAATATCCGTGTGGCCAAAGAAAGAAGAATCCAGAGCAGTAGGACCGTATCAAGTGCCAGCTTACGTAACCGAATCGCTCCGTGTTTCCTGGGCGCTCACCTTCAACTTCCCGCGCAATCTTCTCTGTTGCTCCTCTGCTCTACAATGATATTGATTTTGACCTTTTCGGTATATGCCATGGATCTGGAATATTGACACACACATCAAACGGATCCACGCAAGGCTGTCTATCTGACAACTTTATACCACAAAGACGTAGCACATGTCATACCCACTGCCATAACTTTTGGTCCGAATAGTACTTTTTTAGAGGTGAGCACGAATTCTGCGTCAAATTGTATATTTTAAACGGGAAGAACACCCCAATTGATTGATGCAGCCTGAATGCAAATATCCCGCGAATATAGCTCCTGTGAGCGAAGACACTCATCAGCAATGAAAGCACTTGTCAAAATTCACCTTCCGAACTTCTCCTATGGACCGTGCGGGTACCAGTCCCTGTCCGTCGAGTTCGAAGTTGTCCTGTATTCAACCCTGATGCGGCCCTATCGCAGGGGTTTCTTAGATTTGCCCAGTGACTGGGCGTCCGCCCCCCAAAGTCGAGTACGTGTATGCCAGTTGATGTTCTGCGCACGAGGACCGCTGGGATTCATCACAGGAGCCGATTTTAGTCTGTATCATCAAGCAACGCGGCGTAACGCTGCGCGACTGTGGCCATGAACTGTACCTCAGCAAATGTCGCAGTAAGAACAGGGTTATACTTTTGTTATAGACTGTGGTTCACAAAGTCTGCATGAATTATTTTGCCATGTAGATGACGCAATGTAATCGTAAAGGTAAGACAATATGCACTCATTCCTTGGTGTGAACGTGGAGGGAGTTACCACAGAAGTTGATGTTCTGAGAGAGGACCAAACTAAAACCCTTAGGCTTTGACTGCGACCGCGATGGCATTCGGTCCAGATTAATTATGGGCCGGGGATCTGAATACGCGTGTCATTTTGCTTGACGACGATGAAGCTATCGGTGAACCCTCGCTAAGCGTTTATGCCGAAAAGTTTCAATGTCACAAGCCGAGACCCACATCCATTTCCGAGCGACGATGTGGCCGAATTCCCTTAGGACCCGCCCCTTCTGAGCCGGATGCCGAAGTGATTCGTGTGTTCGCATTGGCAAACATATAAGCAGATTCACCAGGATGGAAGCCCCATCGGACACAGTCGGATCGCCTTTTACGAATTCCAAGTGGCATAAATGGCCGACTCTTTGGATCTCCACTACCCTAGTCATGCGGGCGAGTATTTTGTACAGTTGTACACCTGCGCCGAACTAACCATAATTTAGGCATCGGATTCATCGAAACTGCACACCACGATACGTATCCCGCGATTGACCCTGCTAGGGCAGATTTTGCAGGCAAAGTCGTCCTCGTAACGGGCGCATCAAAGGGCATTGGAAGGACAGCTGCAATCTCGTTCGCTCAAGCCGGGGCCTCTGGCCTCGTGCTCCTTGCTCGCTCCAATATGAGCGAGACAAAGTCTGCATGTGAAGCCGCAGCGACACGTCCGGGGCAGTCTATCAAGGTCCTAACCTTCTCTGCCGATACCAGCAATGCTGCCCAGGTTAGCGCAGCTCTTGCGCAAGCGAAGGAGGCGTTCGGAAGACTTGATGTTGTCATCAACAATGCAGGGGTTGTAGAGAACTACTCCTTAGTTGGGGATTCCGACTCGGAGAATTGGTGGCACACCTGGGATGTCAACATGCGCGGGACGTACGAGGTGACCCGCGCCTCTCTTCCGTTACTCGCGGCGACAGAGGGACACAAGAGTATCATCCTCGTCACCAGCCTTGCTGCCCATGGAGTTATGAAGACGCATGCGTCTGCATACACGGTACGCATCTTATGCTCTGTCGTCAGATACCCATCAGGGAGACTAATCACTGCATGTATTTAGATGAGTAAGCTCTCCCTGCTGCGCTTCGCCGAACTCCTTGTCAACGAGTACGGAGACAAAGGGATCTCTGCCTACGCACTTCACCCCGGTACGATCCTTACCGACATGACAGCTGATGTTCCAGATCAGTTCAAGAAGTACCTCGTCGACAAGCCGGAGGTCGCCGCACACACTATGGTCTGGCTTGCGCGTGAGCGCCGGGACTGGTTGACCGGTCGCTACGTTAGTTCTCAGTGGGACGTTGAAGAGTTGGAGGCAAAAAAGCAGGAGATTGTCGACGGTGATAAACTTAAAGTAAGAATGTCCATTTGAGGCGTCCGTTGGGGTATGTTCGTCGACAGTCTCATATAAACATGAGAAACAATGATATTTGGATGATTTTACGGGGAAGTAATGTAGCAATGTCGTGTGCGTGAAGGGAATCCTCGTCTTATGAGTCTATCAGACGGCTCAAGCGCTCAGGTTTGGCATTACTGACCTAGCAATTCTAAGTGCCAGTGACTTAAGGATGCATCATGACTAGGTTGTGGGCCTCTGTACGATTGTTTGTAATTAGCAGGGGAGCGCTGCTCAAGTGAAAAGCCGAATCGCTGTACCCAACCCCTTGTTTCGCGATGGCGTGTCGGCAGTAGGAAATTCGGAACAATCGCGTATGAGGCCACTTGACTTGATCAACACCTCCGATCGCGTTAAGCACGTGTGCATCAATTTCGCGGAGACTATTTCAATTTGGTATTTCTCCGGCAGATTGCCACACATGCGAAGAGTCGTCGTTCAACGTCCAACTTTGCCGTCTTCATTGATCTGCTTCTGGTCCATCTTTGGTCGCATCTGCATAAAAGTGCTGTAAAAAATCATGAGAGGTAAACCTTTCTCTCTTCGGCGGTAGACCCGTGGCTGAATTTTGCGACCATGGCACTTGCCTCCATTCAGTACTCTGGAGCAAGGTCCTAAGTGGTGTAAGCAAAAGACAGTAACCGAATTTGTTGTCATCTATAGCACTATACTAGAAGCTTTGAGGGATACTAGTATATTCAAGCTTAGTCACGCCCGTATGAAGTGGTCTCACCGCTGTGAGTGAGTTAGCGTACATTGTGTCCAATTCATCGTGCATATTAACTTAAACTAGCTTATGGCCAGAAGCCATATGAACGCAATGCTCACAATGGGAGCTAACTCATCGGCGCCGTCGCTGATGCGCTAAGCCGTTGGTAGTGCGTGTGCGTCGCCCGCAATCAACTGTTAATGCTCTGGTGCTGTCGAGCACGTGTCCTGCAGAATTGGCTTGGGGCTGCAGTCATTTCCCACTACATATCATGAGCCGTCGGGGTATCCCCGCCCGAATTTCGCGTCCCCCAGCCATGCAGCGCGGATCCTGTAAATCTCTTTCTATGAGCCCAAATGATCTGAAGTGAGATGTAATCTCATTAATAGACTGGTGATTGCATAGCGGTTCGAACATCCTATTATTTTGACTACTCTTATCTCTACTCCCTGATACAAGCTAGTTTGATTCATTGTCTAAGGAGCAATCCCTTTGACACTAACAATTGACCAATGCAGCACGTAAGGCTCCATTGCTCAAGATGTTGGTGACTGACGGAATTCCCGATGAACCGGAATTGCGAAAGCAGAACGTTAGCGGCCCCACTGTTCAGTCCGCGCATATAAGAGCGATGTCTTGAGTATCCTTAACCAAAGACATCTGAGCTCTACTACTACACTCTCACATTGCACATGCAAGCTACATTCCCTCCTCATGCCGGTTAGCGAATCATCTTTTCAAGTCCTCCCATTCTAATCTTACTTCCGCTTTAAAGGCGTTGACTTTGTCAAAACTGCCCGCCATGACACCTATCCTGCCATCAACCCCGCCAAAGCGAACTTGACGGGAAAGGTCGTCCTAGTGACTGGCGCATCAAGGGGGATCGGCAAGGCAACCGCGATCGCCTTTGCACAAGCTGGTGCTTCTGGGCTCGTTCTCGTCGCGCGTTCCGATTTGAGCGCGACTAAGACGGCTTGTGAGGCCGTAGCGACACGCCCTGGGCAAACGCTGAAGGTCTTAACTGTGTCCGTCGACACCAGCGATGCCACACAAGTCAACGCTGCTCTTGCGAAGGCAAAGGAGACGTTCGGACGGTTGGACATTGTTGTCAACAATGCCGGTGTGCTAGAGCCGTACGCATTACTAGGCGATTCAAATTCCGAGACGTGGTGGAAGACATGGAATGTGAATGTGCGCGGGACGTACGAGGTAACGCGTGCCTCTTTGCCGCTACTACTCGAGAGCGGTGGGGATAAGACGATCATCATCGTCAGCAGCCTCGCTGCGCACAACGTCCTCCCGACACATGCCTCAGCATATTCGGTACGTGCTCATTTAGTCGCTTGTGCGCATTGAATATACATGCTGATCGTCCTGTTTTTGCGCAGACTACGAAGCTAGCTCAGTTGCGCCTTACCGAAATTCTCGTCAACGAATATGGTAGCAAGGGAGTTTCTGTCTTTGCCATCCAGCCGGGCGCCGTGGCCACAGACATGTCATCCACTGTGCCCGATGATATGAGGCATTTCATTGTCGACACACCCGAAGTTGCAGCTCACACGATGGTTTGGCTTGCTCGCGAGCGCAGAGATTGGCTATCCGGCCGCTATGTCAGCTGCCAGTGGGACGTAGAGGAGCTCGAAGCGAAGAAGCAGGAAATTATCCACGGTGATAAGCTGAAGGTCAGGATGGTGGTATAATGAGCCAGCGGTGGAATGTGGGCCTTTCTGGTGGATATACTACAACAGAACGTTCAGGTTTTATGTCGGACGGGCTATGATCCCTGTATGTCTCTCTCATTGTGTAAGCAGAATTCGCTATTATGAACTTCTATTCAATGATGAGCGGGCGTGCATTGCACGGTCAATCGCGATTGATACTCCCATAAAAAACTCACTATCTGTCTAAATGCCAGTGATTCAACATACAACTTGCGTAAGTACGCGACGGTCCTACTAGGCAGGCAGAGGATGTCCTTTTATGAAATTCCTGTACCAAGATGCACGGGCTGATCAACAGCCACGTCATTTTATTGCTCTCGAGAAATCCTCTGTTGGTTTTCGAATTTGATACCCGGCTTACGCTTTGTTCAAAGTCTCAAGCAACTCAGCAAGCAGGCGCATTTTACCTCAATAACTTGAGTGCGCCGCTACGAGTAATACCACGACGGTTGCTTACAAAACATGGACTGATCAAGTCCCTGTTAGTACCCCAAGACTACGACCCCAATCGCCATTTGTTAACCACGCGGGTAGAGTTTCCTTAGGTGAAAAGCTGTGACACAAAATCCACGACTAGTACTCATGAAATGATCACCATGCATTACGCCCCGGCAATCAAGATGACATCTGCAACATGACAATTCCGGCGATTACACGTACGGCCCAACGTCGTCCGACCACTGAGCGAGTTGCAGATATCAAATTGATAGCATACGGAGTTTGCAGTGGGTTGCTTACATTGACAGTCGGCCCACATAGCCAACCGCCAAGTCTCGCCTATGTGGTCTCAACACTCTGACACAAAATACCAACGACGAGAACGGCTGTAGACTATTTTCACCAGCAGGACCTCGCAACAATGTCGCTTGAAGTTACTTACCCTCCACACGCCGGTGAGTACACTTTTGAGGTTTTATACATGACTTCTGAGTGCCCAACAGGTCTCGAATTTGTTAAAACGATTCGACATGACACATACCCCGCCATCGATCCTGCGAGGGCAAACTTAGCAGGAAAAGTGGTCCTTGTAACCGGTGCATCGAAGGGCATTGGAAAGGCTATCGCTATCGCCTTCGCCCAAGCGGGTGTTTCCGGCCTCGTCCTCCTGGCTCGCTCCGATATGACTGCGACCCGGGCTGCATGTGAAGCAGTAGCAACACGTCCAGGGCAGTCGCTGAAGGTTCTCACCATCCCTGTCGATACAAGCAACACCGCTCAAGTCGACGCGGCTTTGAATAGTACCAAAGAGACGTTCGGACGGCTCAACATCCTCGTGAATAACGCTGGCGTAGTAGAGGATTATGCTGTGGTTGGAGATTCTGATCCGGCAAGTTGGTGGTACACATGGGAAGTGAACATGCGCGGGACGTACGAAGTGACGCGTGCATCCTTGCCAATACTCATGGCTACCGAAGGCCACAAGACCATCGCCACTGTCAGCAGCATCGGTGCTCATGGTATCGTCCCAAAGTTTGCCTCTGCTTACGTGGTACGGCATCAGAACCATTTGCTTGTACTGTGTAGCGGCTAGGCTCACTCACATCATCTTTTGGCATAGATGTCCAAACTGGCACAGCTCCGCTTCGCGGAGCTCCTAATGAACGAGTACGGGAACAAGGGGATTGCTGCTTATGCGATTAACCCAGGCGCGATCCTCACGAACTTGACTTCCGCCATCCCTGAAGACCTCAAGGCGCACCTAGTAGACACCCCCGAGGTCGCTGCACACACCATCGTCTGGCTCACTCGAGAGCCCAGAGACTGGCTCAGTGGTCGCTATGTGAGCTGCCAGTGGGATGTGGAGGAGCTGGAGGCGAAAAAGCAGGAAATTGTTGATGGTGACAAGCTGAAAATGCGAATGGCCATTTAGAGCCGAGGCACGAGTCCAGAGTCAAACCGTTGAGAATGTCTGAACATCCATTTTTAGTATAACATATGTATGCAAAACCATGTGTCTGGGTAGAAGATCGAGATAATCTTTCTATTGCAACTGTCGCATCAATAATTCTCTTGAAGCCGTACCTCATTCCACGTCGAAGGCAAGGCATCTAACCTCAATTGACTCCCGGTGAGGCGCCTCGGGGGGACTCGTCTTATCCAGAAACGCAGAGTGTGGCGACAGCCTCGCCCTGTCCACCGCCGAGTCATAACATTTGATTAACGTCACCTCCTCCGGAGTCTGGTCCGCCAAATAGTACCATTTGTGGTCAGGGTTATGCAGCACGCTGAATGTGCTACTCGTACGGTTCGGGTAGATTAGGCGAACAGAAACAAGGTCGCGCTCAGGGACGAGGCAGCGCCAGTCTGATACCGCCAGCGGCTTGTGGGCGACAGGATTGCGGATGGGCCGCCAGACATTTATGATACGCACGCGGCCCTTGAGATAGTGGTCTGCCTCATCGCCAAGTTCACGCTGTACCCTCAATACAGACGCGTCAAACGTCTGGTCGACATGAACACGTTCCTAAATAATCGCAAATTTCGCAATATGTTCGAGGGAATAATATGGCAACATACCACTGGACCACGCGCTCCAGGTTCGTCTTCTCCATTGTGGTTTCGCTTGCGTCTGCCGAATATGACGGAAGAAAGACGGAGAGAGGCGAAGTTTGTAAAATGTGAGGCGCCTTCCCTATGCCAGAATAGAACTCCGCCCTAACCTGATTGTATGGTCGAATACGACTACGCGCTTAGCGCCGGTAATTTGCTTCAACAATTCCCTCACTTCCTCATAATACGTAGTCTTGATTTCTTCGTCGTCTTCGAACGATGTCTCCTGGCTCACGTGTCTGACGAATTGGAACCCGTTTTTGTCAAGCGAGAATGACTCTTGTTTTCCGCGAGCATCGTGGATGATTACCGGCCGAGTATCTACTCCCAAGTTATGCAACAGCTTTCCCTCTGGGGCTGTCAGAGCGTATTGGTACGGGGCCTCCTCGTCCAGTGGCTCGAAATAGTTCAGAGTCGTTGAGATGTTGCGAGGCATAGGTGCTACCATCGGATGAGCGAGCGATGGTTCGAAGCAGGCTGTTTGAATGTGACGTTAGCTCACAATCGATGAGTAAGCTAGATTTCTTATGTCTTACTCTTTTGACTCGGATGCGCTGTCATGACGTTTTGACTTATGAACAATTATTTGCTCTCGCTAAAGTGATCCCATGTCCCAATGGCAAACACCCAGATCCAGCACTTGATGTTCGTAGTGGGTGCTTACGACAGATTATGAAGTGTCTCAGACCTATTCAGACAAATGTGTATCTTATAATCGTTCAACCTACTACCAAACATACATGAGACCCCGAATGTCGAAGGTCCCGGGTGATAACCACTAACAGCACCAGTGCACAACGTCTCTGCTATCTTCGGACCCGGTGTCTCAAGTGCCGCTCGTTTAGCAGTGTCCGACAAAAACTGTATATCATGGAGTAATGTACATTTGCACGAGCAGCTAGAGGGTGGCGGTGCCAGCATACTGACAGTCGAGATCCACTACCATATAACCATGACATTCACCGTGCACAGATCTATACTAATACATCCGTTACAATGCTGTACGAAAAGAGCTCCACCCGAGCAACCGAACGAGGCTTAACTGACCTGCACCTTACTCGCTGTCGAAGACTAGGCAGCGAACCTCAATGGACTCCCGATGCGGGGCCTCCGGGGGGCTGCTCTTGTCCAAAAACGCCGAGTGCGGAGTCAGCCTCGCGCGGTCCACATCGGAATCGTAGCACTTAATGAGCGTCACCTCCTCCGGAGTCTGGTTCGAGAGGTAATACCACTTGTGATTCGGGTTGTAGCGCACGCTGAAGATGCTGCCCTCACGGTGAGGATAAATGAAGCGCACCGGGACAAGATCGTGTTTGGTGTCGAGGTAGCGCCAGTCGGACACGGCGAGCGGCTTGTGTGCCACGGGGTGATGGATGGGACGCCACACGTTGATGATGCGGACGCGCCCTTTGAGAAGACGGTCTGCCTCCTCGCCAAGGTGATAATGCACACGCTGCACGGACGCCTCGAACGTTTGGTCGATGTGCACACGCTCCTGTATGATGCTCAGCCTCTGCAAGATGCGACAGCGGGAAGAACATACGACCGGTCCGCGATTGTCAGGCTTGCTGCCAACTTCGGGGGCGGGCTTGCGCCTGATTTGTGGATGCAATCAACACCCGGCGCTCCTAGACAGACGGAGCTAACCTGTACTGACCTGATAGTGTGGTCGAAAATGAAGACGCGCTTCGCGCCAACTTCCTTCTTCAGAAGTTCCTCGACTTCCTTATAGTACTCCGTCTTGATGCGCTCCTCGTCGTCAAAGTCCTTCTCAGCGCTGAGGTGCTTCACGAACTGGAAGCCACCATTATCGATCGTGAATTCGGACTGACGGCCGCGAGCATCGTGGACAGTAACGGGGTGGGTGTCGGTACCGATATTGTCGCGTGGAACGCCTTCTGGCGGTTCGAGGACATACTGGTACGGTGCCTCTTCTCCAATAGGAGAATAGTAGTTGAGCGTCGTCGGGACGTCGTGGGGTGCGAGGACTGCTGCTGTGGCCATTGCGAGATACTGCTGTGTATGAGTAATGTTTGACGATGAGGCGAAAGGTGAAGCCGAGCTCGTTTATATAGCACCTAGGACGAAACAGCCGCCTCTTGGTGAGACGGACTTGGTAAGCAGGATCCCGGTCAGAAGCAGGGGTGGACCGCGGCCGGAATACAAACGACCAAAGTGCTAGAGAAACATGTCTTGGTCATCCGTTGAGTAGTCCCGCAGCCTGGCCAGTGGGAGAAAACTGTCGTGCTCGCAGGATCGCATGACGCGACCGCGCCAAAGTTGGAAGCGTAATGTAGCCAATCTATAGTCAATGCTGCCTGGAGTGCTTATTGATCATGCATTTGGAGCGTCTCGACGAGCGCATACAACGATGACTAACCGTTGTCCCCGCCGTCCGACTCCGAATTTCTCGGGCTGCCTTGGGAGACCTGAATCATTCCGAGCTTTTCGGAATGTCGTCAGTATCGCAATAGTACACGTTATTCTATCATGGCAAGGCATGAGGCATCTGTGCGAGGCATGCCTCGCCGGGTTACTTACTGACCGTGGCTCGATTTATTACATCGAAGGCTAGACTACTGTAGTTATCATCTACATAGGGCCATGCCCTCAAAGACAATAAACGAGACTCACAAACAAACATACTGACCGTAATGATCAAAGCTTCGCCAGCATCGGTCTCGGAACTACCCGTGACTCTCGTTGAGCATCGCCCACATGGAACCCATTGCCAGGCTGGCAGCAGCTCAAAATCAACATTGCCTACCACAGACACTGTAGGTGAATGGTCGCTCATAAGAAAAACGATACCAGTGACAAATTTCTATCCTGGGTCAGTACTGAATTGACAACTTCAAGTTCTAGCACATACTTGATATCCGGAATTGCGCACGGATTGTGCAGGTGGTGAGCTTGACCAGCATCTGCACTGGATAGTTGCTTTTCTAATGTTGTGCATCATGTACAGGAGCAATTATGTACTGGCATTTTCTTTAACTGAACCGTGACAATTTGCACTGCGCGCGCGTGTCAATCCGAGAGATTCTGGCGCATCCTGAGCGACAATTCATGGAGGGGATTCGGGGTGGCCATACATTGATCACGATTGGTGCATCGACTGAAGTGAGTCCCAGTCTGCACTTTACACACCACGGAATTCAGAAACATCCTATCGCCAGTTAGAAGCCTTGAACCGAGTATGTATAACCCCTAGAATAGGTCCGATGATAGGCGCAAGATGGCGTCTATCTGTCCTTCTCCAGGACTTCCATGTGGTTCTAACAACCACCAGCATGTGGGCTCGTCACACCAGCACACATTACAACCACTGCCAAATCCGTTTTTTTCGTGTCCGGCAATGCGCTCCCCGTATTTCCTCCGGACGACCGCGAGGTATATCGCCCAATGGGTATCGATGCACATGTTCCCGGCTTCCCACCATGGTCCCGTCAGCCCTGTGCTGTACACAGCACACGGTAGACTCGACAGATATCATTCACTTGCTCCCAGGCAGAGAGGCCGCGATTCGATGCACTCCGGCTATAAGCGAAGGCTTCGTATATTTAAATCCCATCCTGGAGTCGACCCTCGCTTGATCACCTTTCGACCACGGCGTCCTCTAAGATGGTTGGTGCTCTCCTTCTCCTCCCGTTGTGCGCAGCGCTCGCGCACGCTCTGCGCGTCCCTCGTATGCCCCTCGCGCAGAAGGTCGCGCCTCCGTACTTGGTGCCCGTGGACCGTAATGGGACTGAACTCCCACCGCTGGACACTGTGTATTACTTTGACCAGCTTATTGACCACAACAACCCGAGCTTGGGTACTTTCCAACAGAGATATTGGCAGACATGGGAGTACTACGAGCCAGGTGCGCTTTTTGATCGCCGATCACCCGCTATTGCCGAGTTAAATGGTATCCACTAGGTGGACCTATCATCATCACTACGCCAGGAGAACAGGACGCCGACGGTCTGTGATGTTTGGATCACGTTCTTATGTATGGTGCTCATGGCAATAGGTTTCGAGGGCTTTCTCACGAATGCGACTATCGACGGGTTGATTGCCCAACAACAAGGAGGTGCAACAATAGTACTCGAGCATCGTTACTACGGCTTATCCAACCCTTACAATAATCTCTCCGTGGCAAGCTTGCAATACCACACGATCCAGCAGGCGATCGATGACTTCGATTACTTCGCGTACAACGTGGAACTCGCCATGCCAGGTGGTGACCATGTTACTCCGAACGAAGCGCCATGGGTTTTGATTGGAGGTAGTTATGCCGGTGCTCTGACAAGCTTCACCAAGGTCAAGTCAGTCTGTGTCGCCTATTTTCTTTTTGCAATATCATGACCATTGTGTTTTGTCAATAGCAAACCTGACCTCTTCTGGGCTGCGTGGGCGTCGTCTGGTGTTGTGGAGAGCATTGTGTGCGCACCATGCCTCTCTGTCCATGTCACCAGCTTATGTGCGGTTGTAGCAACTACTGGGGCTACTTCGACATTATTCGCAAGCACATGCCACAGAACTGCTCATCTGATGTCCAGGCTGTCATCGGGTACATTGACGATGTCTTCACGTCGGGTAACATCCAGGAGATCAACTCCATCAAGACAACCTTCGGCATGAACCTCTCACATCTGGATGACTTCGTTAGTGCTCGTTAGTACTCTGTTGAGCGGCGTTGTTGCTGGCGATCGTTCTGACAACATAACCTACAGTCTCCTACCCAATCTTCTACTGGCAAGATCTGCAGCCGTCGCCGGAGCTGACTGATCTCTCCTTCTTCGAATTCTGTGATGCGCTAGAAGTTAAGGACGGCGTCAATGCCCCCACTGAGGGCTGGGGACTTGACTACGCCCTGCAGGCATGGGGCTCGTGGTGGGAAAATGACTTCCTTCCATCTGGTGAGTGGTATATTAGAGCATTCTCAAATAGTCTGACACATTGTTTGATTGGACAGCTTGCGAGGGTCAGACCATTGAGTACGTTCGCTTGTAATCTCTTCGTGGCGATATGCTAATCCATTTGTTGCACTAGGGAATGCCTTGGTTCCTATGATGCCAACGCGACGTATTATACCGACATCTCGGTTAACAACGCAGATCGTTCGTGGATGTGGATTGTGTATGTTACGTTTCGCGTACGTGCGATTTACAATGAGGCTGACCTCATCTAGGTGCAACTACATGGGCTTCTTCCAGGACGGTGCGCCTGCAGGTAATCCGACGATCGTCTCTCGACTCATCGAGCCCATCTACACCGAGGTCAGTTTGCCTTCGCTTTGTTTGCTTCAGGCTGCGCTTGGTACTGATATCCACACTCTACAGCGCCAGTGCACGTACTACTTCCCCGAAGCGTTCAGCAGCCCTCCCACTCCGCAAGTGACCTGGATGAACTGGGAGTACGAGGGCTGGAACGTGCAATCCGACCGGCTTTTCTTCGGCAATGGACAGCGTAAGCACACCCACTCGTATTGACTCAGTTTCCCCCTCATCACGCGTGTATAGGTGACCCTTGGAGGGATGCAACAGTCTCCGCCGATAACACGTCGTTCCCCAGCACAGCGTGGCAGGAGATTGAGGTTGGCGACGGTTTCCACTGCTCTGAGATGTACACGGTCAATGGCCAGGTCGACCCCACGATTGCTAAAGTGCAGGAGGAGGGGCTTGCCGCGATGAAAGGGTGGTTGGAGACTTGGACGCCTCCCAGTCAGTGATTTCTCGCTGGCAGCTGATTCTGTCCATTATCCCGGATGGATTGACTATCTCGGTTATGGATGGCTGGAATTGTGGGATGTGAAAAAGAGAATGTGTATATACTACTTATTGGGATCACAATGGGAAATTTTGGCTGCGTGCACCTAACCAGAGCGTATGGTCGATTGGCGTGTTCTTGCGCGCGTGGCTCAAGGCAGCTCGTCGAATATAAAGTACTTCATTCTCTTACGTATCCCGTGGACTCCGTCGAGGCCAAAATTGCTGGATGACTGAGCAGGAGTCTACTTTAAGCATAACGTTCAGGTTATTTATACCATGTTAGGCGGGGGCACGTGCATCGCACATGCTCTCCCCGCGTTCGCCTTCCAACTCTACCTTGTACTTTCAACAAATCTTAGCCTTCTGTAGCTTCAAGTCGTTCCCAGCTTATTTCAGGACTTTATCAATATGTCAGGCTTTGAGCGTGTGACGCTGAACGGTATATATTCGATCGTCAACGCGTCATTTCAAGTACCCGTTCAGATGCTCAGTAATAATCAAAACGAGCAGGTCGTATCTGGTGTTCCCTTTTTCTATCCCCCGATTATTCCACGAGAGCAAAAGGCATGTTCTTTATCTTTGCACTGCGTGAGATAATCTTGCCGACCTAACGATTGCCTTTTCTGGTATGGATACCAGTGGTTTGTGATGGGTAATGATAATGGACGGCACACTGTAGAGAATTTCAAGCACCATCTTTACTTAAAACCTCACCCTAATCATGATAATTTCACACCTGTGATTGGAACACGGGAGTTGATTTCTACCTGGTATATAGAGAGGTCAACAGATCATGTGCCGCACGTTTATCGGTATGTCACCAGTTGCCAGTATCGGCTCGATAGACCGTGCTGACCGAGTTCATCACATTCTAGAATCAGAAATACCACCGAATACACTAGCTTATGCTGGGCACTGAAGGATGGACGCCCCGAGACTCCAGTATGTCCCTAAATTCTGAGGTCTCCTATCTTGACGTCGAACTGATTGCTTCGTAAGGTCAATCTCGTTGCGAGTAGCCATTCTCATCTTGAATGTTTGTGGCGCATACAACCATGCTCTCCTCTAGATAACGGAATCGAATGCGATGCAATGTCTAGACTGCAGGACCAAGGACGCAAGGACAGCCGTGCAAGTCGAAGGAAATCCAAAACCCTGGGAATCCAAAAACATTACCGGCAAGAAGTTGCCAACCAGCGTGTTGTTTACATAGGGAAAGCCCCTTGCAGACTTTGAAGATAGTCAAAGAAAGCTGAAAGGTCCTTGAGTTCTGCCTGGTGCCCATCATGGGCTTGCAGCGTATCTCGCGAACAGAGCTACTAAGTCGACCTCAATCCCTTTATTTGTTCGAACACACCTCTCCTTGCCATGTTGACCGGATCCCATTAGCTCGGACTGTCGCGTTGGCAGTCCGTGCTAATGGGTTTGGGAGGAGTCGTCTTTGCCCCAACCGAATGGATAGCCAGTTTGTCCATCCTCGATTTGACAAGGCGTTCAGTGGCCAAGACGACCGCTTTTTGCTACCTTGCCGAATGCTACCTACCACTGGAGTTAACAGTGCCACCGTCTCGCTGTTCTCGCTGTTGAGGCAACGGCGGCGATATGAAGACGGGTCCGCAAGTCTGCACGCTCGCGCGTCACTAATCTCACCATCCCCTAACTAGTCCGACCGAGAATGACAAGTAATTTTATTTCTATCTCTATTTTCGAACTTCATTCATCAAGTCTTATCATACATACTGGTCATGATACCTTTGAGAGGGGGACGTGGTCGTTTTGTATGGTGTTGTTACATGTAACTCGACGATATCACTCCATGACATTCTTCCTAAATCATACAAACGATAATCGAATGAGCTGGTACCATACATACTATCTTCTATATACCGGGCGGCAGCTCACTCCGTATCAAAAACCAAGCAGCGAACCTCAATCGACTCTCGCTGAGGAGCCTCCGGAGGGCTACTTTTATCAGCAAACGCTGAGTGCGGAGTCAGCCTCGCACGGTCCACACTCGAGTCGTAGCACTTGATCAGTGTGACCTCCTCGGGTGTCTGGTTGGAGAGGTAGTACCACTTGTGGTCCGGGTTGTAGCGCACGCTGAAAGTGCTGCCCTCGCGATGTGGATAAATATGACGGACAGGTACGAGGTCGTGATCCGTATCGAGGTAGCGCCAGTCAGAGACGGCGAGTGGTTTGTGTGCCACGGGGTGATGAATGGGACGCCACACGTTGATGATGCGGACGCGCCCTTTGAGAAGCCGGTCTGCCTCGTCGCCAAGGTGGTAATGCACGCGCTGCACAGACGCGTTGTATGTCTGGTCGATGTGCACACGTTCCTATGGAGGAAGATCAGTCTCGAGAAAGGTACCTGGGTCATGCACAGAACGTACGACGGGGCCACGGTTTCCTGGCGAGCGGTTAGCAGTATCGACAGGCTTGCGTCTGCATCACAATTACTATACATCCTGCTCTGGATCTACGATTGGACTCACCTAATGGTATGGTCGAAGATAAATACACGTTTGGCCCCGGTCTCTTTCTTCAGAAGTTCCTCAACTTCCTTGTAGTAGACGGACTGAATCTTCTCTTCGTTGTCGAATTCCTGCTCAGCACTGCTGTGCTTCACAAACTGGAAGCCACTCGTGTCGATCGAAAACTCGGGCTCTCGTCCACGGGCGTCGTGGATGGTGACTGGCTTGGTATCGGTACCAATGTTATTCTGCGGTACACCCTGGGGTGGCTCGGAGACGTATTGGTAAGGGATTTCATCTCCAATAGGACTGTAGTAGTTCAGTGTAGTCGGTACATCGCGAGGAGTGAGAAGTGCTGCTGTGGCCATGATAGTAGCTGTGGAAAGATGGGATGATGCTAGGCCGCAGATGAGAGCTCCATCTTATATTTGAATGATATCCCCGTATCCGAGTCCAGCATTTGTCAGCGCAAGCTCAGTCAGCGAGAAACTCGCATTCCAACACCACCGGAGGCTATCAACAGGTCATTTGCCAGACGCCCTTATACCGGTAGAACTTTGGGAGTTGTCGTGCTTTCAAGACTTTATGACGCAACTGCACCAAACAAGGAATGAAACGCACTTTGTTCACGCAGCGATGCCGAGGCGTTAGTGTACGGCTTGCGTGCTGCAAGGGCCGGTTCTTTAGATGACAAGTACAGTGACCTCACGCCGACGATGTCAAAATATGAGGAATGCAGAGTTGATATAATATTGGAGGAATACCTTTTTGTATCGGTGGTATTTTGTCTGTAGGAACACACAGGGTTCCAATCCGCGGCGAACGTCCTTCTCGCACCAGTGCTGAAATGGAAAGTCCTCCAGTAGCTGACCCAGCACCGAGGCTGCTTACAGAGTCCTGATATTATTCAGGTCCAGGACTTCAGAATGCTGAGAAAGCAAAAGTAGAATTGAATCCTCGAAGTCGGTGACAGACCGGGGAGAGAGGGGCAAACCGAAATACCCGGTACCGGCGGCATGACTGAAGGTCATGTGAAGCGCTCAACTGAGTACAAGCAAACCTCGAGGCGACTCCGTGTTTTCAGCCACCGGTCGCTCTCGGTGGTCCTGACATTGTTGCATTGAACACCGTACTCCTCCAAGCATTAAGGCTAGATGGAAAGGGAGTCAGGGTGCAGGATTCTTGTAATTTCATCCAAAATCGAGCACGCGGAGCGGTTCGTACAACGTGAGTTCTGCGCTCATGCCAAGCTCTTCTGACTTTCCCCGACGAAAAATCAGGCGTGCAGGCCCTATCCAAAACACCGAATCCTGTACCTTCGTCTGAAGACGTGTCCGCTGGTATCACACCTTGGACAATTTCAAACAAATATTACTCTGCTGTCGTGCACTTTCAGACTCGTCAGGTGCAGCAGTTCAGATCGTCTCATGCCGAGGGAGTACCCGCAGTAGTTTTTGTATGGGAGAAAGGCGAGGTATGTGATTCACATTTTCTCATGTGTCTAATTTTTTAAAGAAATGCACGTCACAGTCATATCGAGAATTCCTCTTGGATGCATCAAACACCCTGCGGCATCATGACCCAGAAGTCTCATTGGCAGTGCGATTCGGGGCTGGCTCTGCAATAGACCCGGATGAAGAGGAAATAGACGAATTTCTATCTTCAAACGGGTTTGAATTTATAGAGGGAGAGCGCACCTCTTGCGAGCCTACACCAAACGAAGACAGACATTTTGACGACGAGGATTCCGGTAAGTAAGATCCTCGTTGCTAACAATTGGTCTTTGGATAACCGTTCTGTCAGGGATTCCCGGGCTGCCTCGAGTTATCGATGCCCTAAGCACTATTATGTGGCCTTCCCTTGTGCAGTCCGAGTCCACCCGTAATCGCAAGAGTCGTGCACGCGAGCTACTCGATTGGGCACGCGAGGAGGAAGAGGACGACGGTCTTCGCGCATTAATAACCTCTGAAGGGCTCACGGGGGATGATCTACATACTGACCATAGCGACGACGACGAGCCTGATGAGGCTGGGAGTGAGGCCCCGAGAGCAGCGCGGAAAAGTCGGATGCAGCGTGAAATGGAGGAGCTTGAGCGCTGGCTGGCTGAAGAGGACGGGCGGAGAGAGGAAGAACATGCGCGCGCGTGGATCGCAGACAGGCGTCCCCTGGGTGTGGATGGGTGGCAGGACATACCTACTCCGGTAATCAAGACACCGACGACGGACGCGCCCTCACACAGCGTCCCAGTGCTCGGGTTTGACGACGACTTTACCGAATTCGTGTCTGCTACGTCGCCTGTGCAATCCGCGCACACGGGCACGGATCATCTCGGTGCGTTTATTGAAGATAGGCTCGTCCCCATGCACACCGGCGCATCGTACCGATCACTGGCGTCAGTCTCGGACTTTGGTGGCGCAAGTAGCTCGGTTCCGCATCTCAACGGATCCGACGACGCAGGCGAAGACGCAGATATGCCCTCGCGAGAAGAGGTAATTGAGACCTCTCGTCGTATTTTCGGCTCATCTGGGCCGCTACCAACGCCGGATATTTTAAAAATATCCGAGGCCAGTGGCTCCCATTCTACCGTGAGTGCAGATCCCAGCTCGGATGAGCATGTATTCGAACATCACGATGAAGACGAGGATGAATTTGAGGTCTCGGCGTTTGACCTGTCGCGTGTGCTTAGCGCATTGCATGGTATGAAGGAAGAGATCGGAGGGATGTCGGACGAGAGTGAACGCAGACGTGCCGCAGCCCGTGTTGCGCTCGGACTCGTCTACGGGCTGCAGACAGACCGTGATACATGAGTTTTGGAGGATGACAGCCTTACTCACTTCATGTTGGGATAACATTTCGTGATCTGGTATACTTGAGTCTCCTGGTGAGCACAATGCTGTCCAATTAGACAAACATGAATGCTTCTCATTCGTCACTCCTTATACACGAAATCCATTGAATACATCCTAATACTGATACGTTCCTGTTCGAATGCGGGTCACAAGTTTTTTAACGTAAATCAAGATCTAGTTGGTCGGGGCCGCTGAAAATGAGTGCGTCTTCGGGACTGTTTGTTGGCGCCAAACAAACGGTATAGTCCAGTTCCCGTTGCAAGATGCCCAAGTATCCTGGCTTGTAATTTATGACATTAAACGAGCGGTACAGTTGTCTATATGTCCGTGATGTGATCTCTAGAACTCCATACAAAGAAAGGTCAAAAGTGCGCACCTGGGTACGTTTATTGGATCCAGTCTCAGACGTGTCTTGATACGTGTTAATAGCAGGGTATTTCAAAGCGCACCAACAACTGTCGCTTGTCAGGCCACTTCTATCGCTGATACCTAGCAGATACACAAGCGCCGACATGTATCCTTTCGATAGGACAATATGGACGAGAGGTTGTCTATGAGACGTGTATCAGCATCAATTTAACGAGAGTGTGCGGCAACAACACTGACATACTGGAAGGCTATAGAGGCATAAGTTAGTAAAGCTCTAAAGCTCAATAACTACAATATACATACGTTGATTGTAAACCAAATAGCATTGGCGATCAAAAACATATTCCCAGCGAAGCCACTGGCGTACATTCCTGCAGACAACGTGAGTACAAGACAATTTTATCAGCCGTTACGGCATCGATACCTTTCATCAAGCGATTACATTGTCGGCTATTTATGCAAGTATTGAATGTGTACATGTACGCCTATATTCAAGCATCAGTCTGAGTCTGAGATTGTTTAAGCAGCACTTCACGGAATAACTGACCTTTGGACTGATGGCACTACTAAAAAGCAGGCCCAGCTCTACTCCCAGTGGCAGGAATGAGAACGCAAATAAGTCGCGTAGCACAACGAGTGACTGTGTACATATAGCGACACTAAACAAGACGTTGATGCCTGAAAGAGCACAGATATCAAAAACGTAGGAAAGCGAAAATGAGCGATTGACTTCACCGGTATGGACAGCCTGGTGAGTCCAGATAAAGAAGTTGCTGAGGTCCGGCAACGTATTCGCGAAATCTTTCAATCTGGAAACGAGTGATAGTTGCAGCAGTAGCCCTGTCAGGGTCTAGAGCAGAATTCAGATTTTGAACGAGCTGACGAGCCGTAGACACGCGTCAAGTACATACTTGGAACAACAAGCCTAGTCGTCAAGGCAAGGGATGAACGATTTAGTGATCAGCTGACAGTCGACAAGATTACCACATACAGATAAAAAATGCTGCCAAAATGGGCAGGGTTAGCATCTTGTGAAGGAACAACCAGAGTTGTGACTCGACTTACAACTCTCCCACCAATGGATGCTGGAATCCTCTGCGCCGACAGATGCCACAAGTATAGATGTAGTTATGAGCAGCAGAAAAGTGACGCTTTCAGCAGCAGAAGTGAAGAGGAAGGAACTCGTCAACGCGAACGGCTAGAAGTAAGTACATCATTCGCCAGAGGCCAGACAAGTCCGATGAAGTTTACACACGAGAATCAATTCTCTACTCCGAGAACTCCTAGCCAATGAGCATATCAGATACTGACAGCATGCCGTGGTGTACCACCTACCTATCCCAGAATCGATCCGCAGAAAGAATACTTTGGCTGCATAGCCAGCCAGACCAAGCAACATTGACGAGGACAGCGACGAATAACAGTTGCTCAGATCTGGAGTATTTTTAAAATCAAATACAGGGTCAGAAACTACTGATTGAATTCGATGATGGTTTCTGAACTTACCGATCTGACGCGACTTGGGCGATGGAGGGATGCACCATGGTTGTTTCATTCATGGTAGATATCATCAGGACACTAAGAGAGAGTGGGCTTGAAGGAGCGAATATGGGTGGAACTTACGCGAAGAGATTGAGAGTGCGTCTAGAGTCGAAGCCGGGTATTTATACAAGAACTTCCATGCGCCGCACTCCATTCTCGATTCGGAGCGAGTACTAACAACAAGCCGTGATCAATCTGTACCTCCTCTGAAGAACCCTTTGCAAGCTGTCGCATAGAGGAACACAATCACCCTTTGAAGACGGACTTAGCTGCACTCGATCGTGCGGGAATTTCACGTGTGTAGTTCTCCGCGGAGTGACCTTTAGACTTACTCGAAGTTGATGGAGACCGTGCCACGCGATACGAGCCTGGCTTTCCGTGTATTTTGGTTGTATGGGCACGGCTATCAGTCTGGAGAGTCAACTCGAGCGAATACTGGCGACAAGAGTTACCAGACGAGAATTGTCTCATGACGGCATCCTTGGAGAAACATCTCGTTTCAGTTTAAATTCCGTCAGAAGAAGAGGCTGATACCGGGTTTGTATTTAGCACGTTGGGCAATACACGTTAGTATTAGGGAAACTTACATTGCTGTGGGCGATCTGGAGGACACAGCTGACATGCAGCTGTGGCTTCCTCGGATCACAGTAGACGAAGCAATAGTTATAGCCTAGCCATGCATCGGAGTATAGAAGTCCTATCTAATCGGAGAGCCTGTTAGGCAATTGCAAAGCTTTTCGAATACAATACTTGCTGCACGAGAAGGAGAATGAAAGCGCAGCAAACCGTACAGTACACGATGGTCCGAAGTTGCTAAGGATACATTCACATTGTTATTGGTCTGTGATATTTGGGCCACCTGCAAGTAAACGATACATAGCATGATACAGCATAGCAAAAGACTCCTTCCACGCACTGCGATGAACATTACAGACAGTCCGAACTACTGCACTACTGCTGCTCATGCATCTTCTGTCGGACGCTCCTTCCCAGTTTCGTCTCGGATGCCACCCTCAGAGAAGTTCAGGATACCCGCGACATCCAGCAACTGCACAACTTCCTCCGCCTCGGTGACGGACATGCTTCCCAGCACCTTGTTCACCTTGTCTAAACTCTGCGACTGCAGCGCTTCTTGCATTGCCTTCGTGAAGCCTTGGAATACATCCCACCGCAATTGGAGCGCCTTGCGGACGTCCTCGATGTTCGCATTCTCCAGCCCCTCACCCTCAAGTTGTAGATGCTCCGGCGGCGGTCCGTCTGGCACATTGAAGCTGATCGACTGTCCCGGGTTCTCCGGGACGAGTTGGATCTGCTCCGAGCCGGCACCCACGGCGGCCTCTTCTGCCTTGGATACCCTCACACGCTCGACGAGGTGTGCGTAAGTGTCCGCTACATCTTTCTCGAATACGGACGTTGCTCTTACGTCGTGATCAACCATTCTGTAGTGTAGCCGCTCATCGTCAATATGAAATCAAGAAATTGACTTCGCACTCACTTTCGGAAGAACACCCGGACACCATCTCTGCCGAGTCGGTCACAATACTGAAGCAAGAGACTCTGGTGCACACATTGCTGCGCGTAGCGGCTCTCACCATTGCTCTGCGCTCGGAACGCCGCTACGAGTAGCGCGTCAGATGCACCGGGCACGATAACATCGGAGTGGGCTTTAATAAACTCCCAGGACTGCTCGTATCCACGAAGCGGAAGGCGCGAGAACTGTTCGAGTACTGGTGTCAGTTCAGGTAGTTCGTCTTCCTCCGCATCGTCCGAGGCGGCAGGTGCGGATGATGAGCCTTCTGCGAATGTGTCGTCCGCGGCCGCGACACCTTTCGCATTAATTGTTTCAAACTCGGTCGTTTTTGCTGTTGCTGTCTTCTTTGAGGCACCTGTTTTCGCACCTTTGATCGCAGGCGGCGCAGGCTTGGGTGGCACATACTGGGGG